AGCAGAAAGTACATCATTCCCATGTACTCCCTCCCACCCACGTACTGTTTACCCTATTATTAACATCTTGCATTATTGTGGTACATTCATTACAATTAATTAATATTGATTTATTATTATTAGCTGAAGTCCACAGTTTATTCGGGTTTGCTTTTTATGTTGTACAGTTCTATAGGATTTGACACATGTACAATGACATATATCCACTATTGCACTATTGTATAGAATAGTTTCACTGCCTTAAACATCCTCTGTGCTTCACCTATTCATCCTTCCCTCCTCCCACGCGCCTGGAAACTACTGCTCTTTTTCCTGTGTCTAGAGTTTTATCTTCTTCCAGAATGTCATATAGTCAGAATCATACAGTATGGAGCCTTTTCAGATTGGCTTCTTTCACTTAGCAGTATGCATTTAAGTTTCCTCCATGTCTATTGTGGCTTGATAACTCATTTCTGCTTCTCACTGAACCATATGCCATTGTATGGATATATGATGAATGCTCCTTGACTTACAGTGAGGTTATATCCCCATAAACCCATAAGTTTAAAATATCATAAGTCAAAAATGCATTTAATATGCCTAACCTGCCAAACATCATAGCTTAGCCTAGCCTACATTAAACATGCTCAGAACACTTACATTAGCCTATAGTTGGGCAAAATCATCAAATACAAAGTGCATTTTATAATACAGTATTGAATATGTCAGGGAATTGATTGAACACTGTACCAAAAATTCAAAACAGAACAATTATATGTGTACTCAAATTACGGTTTCTACTGAATGCATGTTGCTTTGGAACTATCATAAAGTCAAAAAATCCTAAGTCTAATCATCCTAAGTGAGGGACCATCTGCACCACAATTTGTTTATCCATTCACCTATTGAAGGACATATTGGTTGCCTCCAAGTTTTTGCAATTTTAAGCAAAGCTGCTATAAACATACATGTGCAGGTTTTCCTGTGGACATAAGTTTTCACCCCATTTGGGTGAATACCAAGAAGTGAAATTGCTGGATCCTAGTATGGTAAGAGTATGTTTAGTTTCGTAAGAAACTGTCAAACTGTCTTCCAAAGAGGCTGTACCATTTTGCATTCCTACCAGCAGTGAATGACAGGCTTTGCTGTGCCACATCCTCCCCAGCCTTTGGTGGTGTCAGTGTTTTGGATTTTGGCCATCCTAATATGTATGTAGTGGTATCCTGTTGTTTTAATTTGCAATTTCTTAATGACACATGATGTTAAACATCTTTTCGTAAGCTTATTTGCCATCTGTACATCTTCCTTGATTAGGCGTCTGTTCAGATCTTTCCCCCATTTTTTAAACAGGTCATTTGTTTTCTCACTGAGTTTTAAGAGTTCCTTGTGTATTTTTGATAAAAGTCCTTTCTGAGATATGTGTTTGGCAAATATTTCCTCCCAGTCTGTGGCTTGTCCTCTCATTTCTTCACGTCCTAGCACTTTTCACACCTATGTTTTCTCATTTAATCCTCTCGTGCCATGTAGTATTGGCTCCATTTTGTTAAGGAAACCAAAGCTAAGAGCAATCAATTGATTTGCCAGGTGATGGAGCTAACATTTGAAGCCAAATCTGATCACAGCTCCATATCTCACATCATATATTAAAAGTTAATCTCACTTGACATAAGTTAGCTGTGTAGGCATGAATTTTGGTAACATCATAATAAAGCACCTTTCCACTGTCCCAGAAAAGAAACACTGTATTAGGCTGCCCTGCAGAGCCCAGCATGATTCCTTGGGTCTCCGTGGCTTCACAGGGCATGGAGAGCCTTCTGAATGAAACACCCGCTGCTGCCTCCTCTGTCTCCCCTCCCATCGCTGTTCCCCTCACACTCTGTTTTCCCAGGATAGGAAACCCTTGCAGCTCCCCAACTGTGCTTGCTTTTTTCAGGATATCTGCCTTCACTCTAGCAGTTCCCTCTGATGGAAAGACTTCCTCATTGTGCACTGGCCAAACCTTACTCATTTTTAATTCCTCATTCACATGTCACTACACAAAGCCCTCTATTCCCCATCTTCTAGATTTGGAAGTTTTGCTTCTGCGTATAGTCTGTCTCTACTAAATTGACAAACTCCTTAACATGAGTATCACATTTGATAGCACTTTCTTAATCCCTTCAACTAGCCTGGCACAGAGTAGGTATGCAGTAAACAAGTTCTTAATAAATGAAGTAGAGATGTTGTCAAACACCATCATCTGGTGGCTAGAGATTGCTTTCATCCGTGAGAACACTTAACTAGAATAAATAAGTTTGTTTCTTTTTGTTTTGTTTTTCATCATTTTTGCTTTCCGGTTTTTCAACTTCATTTTATATTTTTAAAATTCTCTTTCAATATTTTAAACCAGAATCTCTGTTTCCAGTGCTATGGGCCCCAGGGAGGCATAACTCAACAAATAAAGGAGATTTCTGAATCAATAAGTCATAATGAGACCATTGAGTGAAAACACAATGTGCATTTTCACTTTTTTAAGGCCTACAGCTTCTGGAACTGCTGGTAACAGAGGCTTGATGCCCTGGGCTGAGAGTCAGGTACCAGGCTTTGTCTGAATTCCAGCCTGCTGGATGGGCTGTCCCCCAGGGAGTCCTCTTCGGGGCTACAATCCTGCAGGAACTGGGGACCAACTGTTTGCACAGACTCCAGCTGTAGTGTCTGTGAGATGCCTGAGGCTCTGGGGCAGCAAGTTATGTGGACGGAGTAGGGTTTCAGGGTCAGAAAATCATAATCGAGAAGTCCTCTCTGCCACTCACATGATGCATAACTTTGGAAATTTGCTTAATCTTTCTGAGTCTCAGTGCCTTCATCTGTGAAATGGGAAGACTCATAATACCATATCATTCTGGTATCCTTATAATAACCTATATGGCTATTTTGAGGCATAAATGATTGAACGAGATAATGTATGTAAAGTTTCTGGTACCTACCATGAATTCAATAAAGGTTAACTTCAAGCACCTCCCCCATGTCACACTCCACTCTCCCACCCACCCAAAAGGATTGCTTAGACCACCCACCTGCTCCCTCTAGTTGCTTCTACTGAAACTTTTCCCCCGATGAATAAGAAAAGTGGCATTTAGTATAATCCGCTGTCTAGCACAGTGCCTGCCTGACACATGGCAGATAGTCAATGAATGATTCTTAAATGAATGGATAGATATGGGGTGTGTCTTATACCAGCCCTAGGCCTGTTTGTCCATAATAGGACCCATTCCTTACCTTCTCCCACTCTACTACTGCAGGTAACTGACCCCTGTAGGTTGCATTTTTCAGGCTCTCCTGTCAGCTGTCTAGGTTTGGCCAACGACATGCACTGGGAGACTGGAGAGAAGAAGAAAGGGAGAAGCCAGGGTATTACAACTACAGTAGCCTTCCTTAGCAGTAAGGGAAGCACCTCCTCATCTCCAGCTCCTACTAGAATCCCATTGTGGCTTCAGGTTCCAGCAGGTGGCCCCAGCTCCTGAGCACTGCGCACTCCACCACCTCCCTCCATCCCTTCAGCCCAAGGGCAGGCAGTCTCTCATTGTTGCTCCTTATCTCTGAGTTTCTCCACTGTCTTCTATCTGGCTGCTCAACTCTTCTGTCACCCAGGCAACCACTTCTCTGTAGTTAATTCCCTCTGCTAGGTATATTTGAAGTGGTTTCTAACATTATGCTTACACCCCTTTGGAAGTAGGAGCGACTGAACTCAGAGTTAAGATAACTTCACTCCTCTGTGCTCTAGCATTCACTGACCATGTGGCCAGTCAGGCTTTCTGGAGCCTCAGTTTCCTCATTTGTAACCAGGGCTAACAGAACCCGTCCTACTTCTCTCCTGCAGGGTCACTGTGAGAACCCAGCGAGGTCATCCAATTATACCTCTTCCATGTATTACTGAGTACCTGCTGTTATGTCAGGATCTTTTAAAGGTGCAGGGGATGGAGCAGGGAATAAAGCATAATGTCCCAGTTCTCAAGGGGGTTTTGGTTAGTTGCAAATAAATGTGCCTTGTAAACTGCAGAATGCTGTATCATTCTAAGAGGATAAGCTGACCTGACCTCCTTGACTCCCAGAAAACCCTTGGGGATGTCCAGAGTTCTCCAGCCCACTTCTTAGGGACCCCATTCCTGCCCTAGAGGAAGGTGAATTAGGATGCAGTGACTGCACAATGATAGGTGCACAGTGACCTGGGTAGCAAACCAAAGTCCCTCCTCCCAACCAGACCCAACCAGTGTTCCACTTGTGTGTGTCTATTAGCGTGTCAGAGCTCACTTAATTAATTGTAAAGGATTATCCTGATTCTTCTGCTGTACTAGTTTTCTTTTTAATGGTTTTCATTCGGTGTTACTTGAAGTAAGCATGCTATCAAATAAAGCCTGCAAATCTTGTTTATGTCTAGATTGTGTTTGAAAAGGTATCCTCTCTAACACAATGTTTAGTTATTGATGACCTCTTTTACAATGATTTAGTCAGCCTCACTTTAATGATAGTATTGATAACAATATATGGCTGACAATCTATCTACAACAATACTCCAAGGGGCAAATGAAAATGCAATTTGTGCGTGTGCGGAAGATAGGTAAACTTGTTTGTTTTTAAACCACATGAAAATGGAGTGTATTAATCCAGATGCAGCACTCTCCTGTCCTGAGCGTTTTTATATGGCCTCTCTTACGTTGTCCTATGAAGCAGGTATTGCCATCCCCGTTTTAATGATTAAATCACTAAGACTTAAAGAAACAGGTGACTAATCCAGTTAGGTAATGACAAAATCAGAAGGGAAGGTAGAAAAATAAGAAGTGCTTACCTCCCTGAGCCTCCGCTTCCTCATTTATAAATGGGAACAGTAACTGAGGGTAGTGTTGAGAGTTAAATGAGAGAGTAGCACAATGCCTGATATGCCGTGCTGTCATTAACAAACAGTAGCTCCAAAGGAGGACATAGCTGCCTCCTCACCTAGGGCCTCTTATCAACCATCCCCTTGATTTCTGCTCTCTCTGCAGACGACCATTCCCGGGTGAGACTGCTGGTGCTGGATGGAGACCCGCACTCTGACTACATCAATGCCAACTACATTGACGTGAGTGTCTTAATGGGGCTGGGTGCTGGGATGGCTTTTGCAGGCTCAAGATCTGTGGTTTACCCCAAACTCTCCTCCAGAAGGTGGTCCTTCCAGAGCAGTCTGGATCCTCCCTGATACGTGGAACTAGTGTAACCCAAGTTGACTGTCCATCTTATGCTGTATCCTCTTTCAGGCTGGCTGTAGTAGCCTGCTGTATGGAGCCTCAGGACAACTGTTGGTCTTACTCATTCACCCCATTTATTCATTTGTATATATGTCTGTTGATCCATTCGTTCATTCACATAAACGCACGACCATTTATGCCACAAAAATTTTAAAGTGCCTACTGTAAAATGTATACTAGATGCTATGGGAACCATAATGCAAAAAACACCATGGTCTCTACCCTCTAAAACCTTAGCAGGCAGATAACGCACACATCAATAATTCCAGGGCAAAGTAGAAAGTGGTAAGTGTCCTAAGTACAGATAACATGCTGCAGAGATTCAGAGGTAGGGAAAAATATCACTTCTCCCATCAGGAATGCAAAATATGATGTGAACCAAAACTTCAAGCACAGGTATGATTTAAAATCAAAGAGAGGGAAGGGGGGCCTCTGGTTAGAGAGAATAGCACAAGCCAAGATGGAGCAACTGGCAAGGAGATACATAGCAGCTCCATTTGAGGGGAGCAGAGAATATGTAACAGGAATAGTTGAAAATACTGTTGGGGCTACATCAGTGACGATTAAATGCTCAGGCTTAGGAAGTGGGACTTTATCCCACAGACAAGAGGAAGCTATTAAACATTTTTTATCAAGGAGGTGACCAGCTCAGAACTGAGCTTTGGGATGATTTATCTGCTACCAAAGATAAGATAGATCAGAGGGAAGAAATTCTGGAATCAAGACAACTACAACCAATAAGGAAAGAGTCTGCTCCAGTATTCCAGAGACGACTGAGGAAGGGACTAAACTCAAACAGGAGCCAAGAAGGGTATGCATGGAAGTGAGAGCATTTGCTAAGCAAGAACATGACTGCTGGAGTCAGAAGGACAACCCAATGTGACTGATTCAAGCCATGCTTCTCAGGACCTCAGCTCACAGCCCATGGGTCTTGAAGAATGGCACAGAGATTCACATTGGTCCCCCAGACTCTCAAATGTATTTACAGATAGGCTATAAAGTGTGGTGGTGCAGTTTGTGAATTCTCCCTTAATCTAGACTAAGCCAGGTTAGTTATTAACTCAACAAATACTTACTGAGCCTTGTATTGGTCATTCGACTGTTTGCCCTCAGATCTATGTATTGTGCTTCCCTGTTCTGCCTTGCATTGCCGGGGTGTGTGTGTGTGTGTGTGTGTGTGTGTGTGAGAGAGAGAGAGAGAGAGACAGACAGACAGACAGACAGACAGATAGACAGACTGGAGGATGATGGAAAGGCAGTGTATTCTCTGTCTCACTCCCTTCCTTGGGCAGCTGCTCCAGCAGTGGCTGTATCCTGTCTGTGGCTCCATCTTTCCTCAAGCAGGCCTGCCATAGTCCAATCTCCTGCCAGTCAGCCTGCTGGGGCTCTGGTTATTTCTGGACTCTGGATTCTGGTTATTTCTCCCTCTCCTGCTATCCCACGAGTTCTAAGGGTTGCTTGCAGCCTCCTGCAGTCCCTGATCTCTGGGTTGCCCCACTATTCTCTGTTTGGCATCTTGGCTCCTCCATCACTTGTGTAACCAGCTCCCCATGCTGAATTGCCTCTGTCTGAAACACCTAGAGTGGTTTCTGTTTCCCTAACTATACCCTAATTAACAAAGGGCCTACTACATGGCCAAGAACTGGGGCTGGAAGTTCAGTGGAGTTGAAGATAAACACCGTCTCTGCCACCATGGTCCTCCCAGGAAAGTTCACAGGAGATGGCCAGTTCTGAATAGCTTTTCTCCAGCCCAGAGCAGGGCACTCTGAGCATGCACCCATCATGCCAGCAGCCTTTCCCTCATATATCCAGTATTCAATTCACAAACACAGAGCAGACCCTCCACCGTGTATGGGAAATACTGACTTTTAAGACCAGGTCTCTGACCTAAAAGGGACTCAAATCTGGTGAGGGAGTCAGATAAGAAAATAGACCTTCACAGAGCAGGGGCTGTGGGATCATAAAGGAAAATCAATGCTTCAAGTTGGTGGGAAAGGGAAGTAGCCAGTGAGGGCTCCCTGGAGGAGGTGATGTCTCAGCTCTGCCTTGAAAGGTGACTTAGAGTCATCCAGGCAAGAAGGTTTATAGTAACCTAAGAATTACTGATCACTTTTCATTGTACCAACATCACCTTAACTAGTATCACAACTTCACAAGGTAAGTACCATTTCTACCCATTTCCAGATGAGTAAGCGAGTCTCTTCAAATTATATAACGTGTCCAGGATTATACTGCTAGGAGGTAGGGGAGGAGGGAGCAGAAATCTGAGTCAAGAGTACCTCTCCCACCATACCCTGCTGTCTTTAATATTAAATCACAGTGAGCAATGACACCACCAATTGGCTCTTAATGAGTCAGTCTTGGGTCCTATGATGGGTGGCTTAAGTAAGTCAGCTTATCAAAACCTCTTCACAACCCTTCAAGGTAGGTGTTATCATTCCCATTCTCCAGATGGAAAGGGCTGAGGTTTGGAGAAATTACAAATATGTCCCAGGCCATGCAGCTGGTCAGGGGCAGAACCAGGATGGGAACTAGACCTGAATGGCTCCCAGTTTAGCACTCTTTCTCCTTCCCCTCCCCACCCACTGCCAGACACCACCTTGTAGCCAACACACAGCCAGGACTGAGTCAGCATATATTGATGCAGGTTGAGTTGATTCTTCCATTTCTCCTCAACCTTGTCTATGGCTGCATGGATGTGACCCTAAGGACCACAGCCCACACAGGGTCTGGCATGCCTGAGTTTCTGTATCTGGCATTCATCATTTGACTAGAATCACCCAGCAAAAGTCATTTTCCTAGATAGGCACTCAATCCAAAGTTGAATGAGCATCTGACTACAGTCAGGGCCAAGACACACTTTGGTATTTTATAGGCAACAAATGAAACTGCTTTCAGTGTAAGTTAATCTCTACAACACTAGTGCTAATTATGCCTCTGATTCCTTTCCTGTTTTATCATTACAAGACATGTTTCAAGCCTTTAAAGACAGGAAACCAGAGCTCTAGGTTAAGAGCACTGTCCAAGGTCACACAACTGAAATTTAATTCTCTGCCCACTTAGGACACACCACGACCTCTTCCTTCTGTCTGTAAGAATAGGTTAGGCAGACAGGGCAAATGGCCTCTGTTCATGCTGTCTTATCTTGGGATATTGAACTCCAGGCTAAATCTCAGTGGTTAGAATCCAGGGCTAATAAAGTCATGAATCTGGTCTTTGTCGAAGGCCTGGCTGTTGAATCCAGGCCTTTGTGATTACTAGCTTTATGATCTTGGATAAATTACTTACTCATTCTGATAGCTATAAGATGAGATAGTGGTGCCACCCCACAAGTGTGCAATAACTGATGTTAAGTATCTGTTATGATCCCAAAAGGAAACATAGGCTTCCTCAAAGTGGGTACCCAGGGAAAGTTTAATAAAGATGTGAACAGGATTAAGAGAAACCAGTAGGGTAGGGTGCAGTATCACTAGGCTAACAATAGTAGGGAGTCCTTACCAGCCCTAGACCCAGATAAGGGAAGACAGTAGCTATGAGAGAGGGCTGCCCTTCAAGAACTGAAGCCCTTGATTGAGTGACAAGGTCAAGCAAGCCATGGTGACCTGGCAGGGGGGAACCTAGAAGAACATATGCCCCAACCTCCTCCTGGTCTCCGAGCTCCTGCTTTTGTTCCCCATTGACTAAACCCCATTTGAAGCACAAAGCATAGGAGCCCATGGTACGATCCATACAGAGCAGACCATGGAAGGAAAAAGGGGAAATGGAGGGACAAAAGGAAGATAACCAACCACAAGCAACTCCTTGCACCGTTACCACTATAAAGTGAAGAGTGAGGAACTCCATTAATTGTGAACCAACTATATACTCCAGCAAAGATAAAATTCCTGGGGTCTCTATTTGGGTTCCTGGCAAACCAGTGCTCCAGACAGCTAACTCGGTCCTCACTCCATCACCCTGGTCTCCAACCCAGCCAGAATCCTTCCTGGCTCTCTAATGAGCTAACTGCCCACGCTAGAATCATTTCTCTACAATTGGATCTTGATGATTCATTAAAATAACTCTATTGGGATAATGAGCTGAATGGGGCCAGCCCTGTCTCTGCCTCCGGAGGCCGTGGTCTGTTACTGTCTGAACCATCCTGCTGGCAGGTTTGTTTGCACACCCGAAAATGTATTGGCCACTTAAATCTGTTATAAATTACCAGCCTGGAAATAAATATCGTATCTGGGTCCCCAGTAAGTAACAGATGCATGAGTGCAGAGAGAGATAAATGCGTTTTGGATGCAAACCTCTTTCCCATTGCTCACAGACAGATGGAGGCAGGCCCAGTGCTGGTTTGCAGTCGATCTGCGTGCTGTGTAGGTGGGACTTAAATGAACTCAAAGTTCTTTTAAGGTTAGGAAGTTTTCTGTACTCGCTCTTGGCGAATCCCCAGAGGAGCCCCAATTGAGCAGTACATTTCCTTTTATCTCCTTTGCTGAGGAGTCTCGTGGTTGGAATGTTTTCTCTTTGGGGACTGCGTGGGTTTTTGGAAGCCAAGGTGGGTCTCTTTACTCAGATGCAGCATGGGAACAGGCATACAGCATGCGTGTATTCAGTCAGTATGAATTTTTCAAGGCCAATGGCCCAGGCTGACTTCTAGGTCCTGGGGACATGGCCATGAGCAAGCCAGATACAGCCCTGGCTTCGTGGAGCTCCCATTCAACTGGGGGAGCATGTAAATGAGGAAAGAATAGTGTGCTATTTGGTGATAAGTTCTCTAAAGAAAAGTAAGCCAGAGAAAGTGGAAAGAAGCTGATGGGGTGGTCAGAGATGAACTCTCCACAGACGTGATTGACAACTGAGCAGAAGTTTGGATGGAGTGAGAGAGCAAGCCACTCAGTTACCTGAGGGCAGACATAGCAGGCATGGGGAACGGCCAGTGCTAAGGCCTCTGGATGGACATGTGATCCCTATCTCTGAAGAAGAGCAAGAACCAGTGGATGATGAAAGAATGGTAGAGAAACTGGGAACATCACTGAAACGATGAAATGGAAATGACAAGAGGTGTCAAGATGCGCAAACCAGGCTTAAGGAGACAATCAACCACCACTTCCTCTGAGGTGCCTTCCTTGGCTGTTCAATTCCCATGGGTGCTCCACAGAGTCCCCACATCTTCCCATTAGTAGCCTTTACCCCAGTCTGTTGATGTCTACAAGTTGCTCAAAAGCAAAGTCCACATTCATCGGGTCCACTTTTGTATTTCTAGTGCCTTGTACATAGTAGTAGGTGCTTAATTAATACCTGTTGATTGACAGTGAATGTGCAAACAAATGAACTCACAAAATAGAGAATCCAAGCCATCTAACTCCACAACTAAAATGTGAATCTCTTGCTCAGAATGTTATCTCACTGAATTTCAAGCACGTTAGAATCTTCCAAATCACAGCTTCCTCCAGGGTCTCTTTTTCTTCCAGCCTGAGCATTAAGAGGATGCTCCAACTTCAGCTCAAAAACATTCGTGCATGTATTTCACCAACCAGACTGCTGAAAACTGCACCCAGCTCTGGCTGGCATGTCCCAGGGGGAGAAAAGTACAAAAAAATTTACTGCAGCACCTGGAATTGTATTCACTGAGCATATACAAAGCCCTACTGGGCCACTCAGAAGAAAGGAGTCAGCTCTGCATCCCAGAGGAGGGCATATTTCAAGAGCAGCTTGGTGAGGCTGAAGCAGAGGGTGCACGGGGTTGTAGGAGTGGACAAAGAGGGACAACTGGCGGTGAGGCTGGAGATGAAAATGGAGACAGATGACTAGTCCCAAGCTAAGGCATTTGGGCATTACCATGCAGACAACAGGGAGCTACTGCAGGCTTATAAGCAGGGAAATAACACACTCAGTGTGCAAGAAGAAGCTCATGGGGTTAGGAAGCAGCAAGGCTACAGAGTGAAACTGCAGGCAGGGAGGCCAGCTAGAGGTTAGTGCTGTGGCCTCAGCCAGGGAGGATGAGGGCTGTGGGAATGAGTGATGGGGATGGCAGAAGAGGGTAGACTTGAGAAACTTCATCTTTCCAGGATCTAGGGGACCATTTTCTATTCCCAAAGCTACTCAAGAAAACCCTTGGTAAATTCTTTCTTTTAGCCTGAGCAGCCCTGTCCACTTGACTTGGAGGAAGGGATAGGTCCTCCTACCACTTGTGTCACAGGGAAGGACTCAGTTATTACATTAACACAAAGAAGGTCTCATCACCCCAGTATCCCCTGAGAGGTGTGCATATACTTTTAGTCTTGATAGGCACTCAGTAAATAAATGTTTGCCAAATAAACAATAAAATAACAGTAGCAAAGACATTTATGTTAAATCTTAGAATAGGGCTGGCACATAGTAACTGTTATATATCAACTCATTTAATCTGATCAACAACACTATGATGTAAATACCATTATCCCTATTAATTTTTTTAATTTTATAGATTTAGGGGGTACAAGTACAGTTTTGTTACTATATATATTGCACAGTGGTGAAGTATAGGCTTTTAGTGTAACCATCACCTGAATAGTACACATTGCACCTATTAAATTATTTCTCATCCCTCTCACCACCCTCCTACCCTCCCACCCTTCTGAGCCACCAGTGTCTACTATTCCATACTCTACATCCATATGTACACATTATTTAGCTCCCACTGTAAGTGAGAACATGTGGTATTTGACTTTCTGAGAGTTTTTTTGCTTAAGATAATGGCCTCCAGGTCCATCCATGTAGCCATGTTGCTGCAAAAGTCATGATTTCATTATTTTTTATGGCTTACTAGTATTCCATGGTGTGTGTGTATATACATGTATGTATATACACACACACCATGGAATACTGTGTGTGTGTATATATATATCTCCATATATATATATCTCCATATATATATATATCTCCATACATATATATCTCCTTGTATATATATCTCTCCATATATATATTTCCATATATATATATCTTTCCATATATATATCCATAATATACATATTGAATACTATATATAATTTCTTTATTCAATCATCCATTGAGATGGACACGTAGGTTGATTTCATATCTTTGCTATTGTGAATTTTAAAACTGAGGCACAATGAGGCTAAGTAGCTTGCCCCAGACCACAAACCCTAGAAGGGACAGAGCCAGTGTTCAAACCCAGGCAGCTGAGTTCCAGAGTCCATGGTACGCATAATCACCATGCTATGTTGCCTGCCTAGTTGGTTTGTCAACAGCTTGTTTATTGGGTATTTGCTCTGAGTCTCACATTGTGCTGAGCTCTGTGGGAAAAAATTTAAGCTTAGTAGGGAGTGTTTGTCCTTAAGAAACTGACAACCTCACTAAGTACATAGGATTTCTCAAGCACAGACTTTAAGTGGGGCTGTTCACTAACTGTGGTTAATCCAACAGTTCTGGTCATGACATTGTCCCTGGATTGGTGCCGACCTCCAACTCTAGAGCAGGCCCAGCAATTGGAAGGTGCCTGTAAAATCATTGAGCAAGTGAAACACAAAAGTGCAGAAGTGTACAAGGGACTCAGAAACTTGTCTTTGAATCAGAAAGTGGGTCTAGAACTTTAGAGATGCCACATCTATGGCACCATAAACCATACAGATGGCAGTTCTATTTCCTGAAGAAAGTGGCCTCAAGGCAGTTCATCCACCTCAACAGGACAAAAAGACTGGTCAGCAACATCTAAGACAAAGGCAGGTATCCATCAAACGTTAGGACTTATTTTCTCTGGACGTGGTTAACCATAAAAGCTAAGTGGATTTCAGGACTGTCAACAATCTCTCAATTGATAGGGTCCATAATTGGCATCTGTGTTCTTTAAAAAATTTATTCATGTATTCATTCATTCACTCATGTATTTATTTAACAAATATGAATTGCATTCAGTGTTCTGCACTAAATGCAGGTCTGTCTCCAAAACTTAAATTCTACTCAATATGACTGTAACTGGAAAAAGGACACTCCATGTATGCCATGCCCAGGCAAAAGAGGGGTCACCTTCAACCTCTTCTCCAATGATGAAGGTTATGGGGCAGCAGGGTACTCCCCAGCCAGCGTACAGCAAGGCCTACTGTAGTGCTCTGAAATGTACACAGAAATTAGAAACTGGTCTTTGAATTTGCAGGTATCTTTATGGGTCTCCCAAGTCACACCTCCATAAGGTCTTCTCCGTACCTGGGACTTCAATTCCAAGCCCAGGAATGTTGGCATAGAGAAGCAATGTGGGATACTTCTCAATTTTCTTTTCCTAATTGTTACTAATGAAGGGAGTCAACAATTGAATTGTTTTTTTTCCTTTTTCTTCTCTGGGTGTCCTATAGGGTCTTATATAGTGTTCTTCATAAAATCATGGCTCAAGAAAGACTTTTTGGTGGTTGATGCTCCCCATAAAACTGAAAACTCCTTCTCTACCTCTTTTTGGGTGCATAAGGATAAGTGATGCCCATCAAATCTTTGCTCCCAGTGCCACTGGCTCCAAGGCAAGCCTATGTAGGCACCTCACAAGTAACTACAAGAATAGCTAGCATTTAGTGACTTACTACACACTTTATGTGCAACATCTCATTTAACCTTTGCCACTTCTCTGGGAATAACTGATGCTGTTCTCATTTTGCCCATGAGAAAATCAAGACTCAGAGAGGATGTTTATTAATATTGTGCTGTCTGCAAGCTTTGACAACAGACTTTTCAGTGCTTTTCTCCTGTTATCCAGGGATACCATCGACCTCGGCACTACATTGCAACTCAAGGTAAGTGCCCTCCCTCCACCTAGTGCCTCAGAGAGGCTTCAGGGGTCCCAAGGGAAAGGGCTCTCTTAAATGCAAGGCTTTTGTCCTCTCCTCCTATATCTATTACTCCAACCCTCCTTTTTCACTAAACAGCCCTGGAGGAGAGGAATGAGTTTCCACCAGCAAAGAAGTCACAGAGGGGTAGGCTGAAGAATCTCCAGAGGTCCTTGAGATTGTTCAGTTGTTTATTTGGGAAGGAAAATGGTGGCAAGTTTCACTATAGGAGAAAGGCCCATGAGTGACAGAGTAAGAAGCTGTCACTTGGAAATGGTCAGGAGGGAGAGGCCCAAGCTGATGGTGCCTTATCTCCATGATAGATGCGTGCCCATAACAGACATGCAGCTGGCTGCCCTAGAAAGTAACTTGGCAGTGCGTTTTCAGAAGGCTTAAAAGTGATCATACCTTTCAAACCCTTCTGGAAAAAAAAATCCTGCAGATAATTATATATATAGACAATGACGCATATAAGAACATTCTTCACGGTGTTATCTATAATAGGAATAAAAAAGTGAAAAATCTTAAATGCCCAACAATTGGTACATTGGTTACATAAAGTGTGTTACCGCCATATTATAGAAAACCTTGCAGCTATTAAAACTATTATGCTTGGTAAGAATTTTTAAGGGCATCAGAAAATACATATAATAGGTTTGATGCTTATTACAGTAAATACACACATATACATATAAATATAGAAAAATGGTATTCAAACTTTTATATCAAACACACGTATTACTTTTGTAATTTTAAAAATGATGAAGGCCCAGGACATTGAAAGAGTAATTTCCAAGGAAATTGCTTTGGACTGTCAGAGCCTATTTTCTGCTCCTCGTCTTTTTTTTTTTTTTTCTCTCTCTCTCCCTTTCTGTTCAGGCTCTAGAGGGATGCCTCCAGCATTTGTCAAGCTCAAAATCAGGCATCTCCTGTTTTTGTTCTCAGCATCTGGCACCCAGCAGCTCTCTCCATCTCCTCACCCCAATTGCCTTCCTGTCTGTCATGGAGGTTCTCGAGCCCAGTTTTTGAAAACTCCCTCAAGCCATAATACAGTCCAGATAAGGCGATACGTGGAGTTGGTAGGAAGGGTGTGAGCAGGAGGAGGACAGAAGAGAGAGGAGGGGCTGCCAACATTTCCAGTAGATGCTGCAGATTGTGAGAGCTTGGAATGAGGCTTTCCCCATCCATACCCTAATCTGTCCCCATCAGGCTCACATGTCTCAGGCCCATGTCTCAGATACTTGGTATCTTAACGAGGATCACCGGCCTCACTTCTGCTCACCAGTGTGGAGACTTGACCAACCAGAGGGACAAATCTTCTCAGCTGCTTCTTTGCACTTGCATTTTCTAACCTCACTGCCTTCTCTGTTGTCAGGTCCAATGCAGGAGACCGTAAAGGACTTTTGGAGAATGATCTGGCAGGAGAACTCTGCCAGCATCGTCATGGTCACAAACCTGGTGGAAGTGGGCAGGGTAAGCCTCTCCCGCACTCGCCTGGGCAGAGGATGCTGGAGATGCCCTCTCGAACATCTCTCTGTTCCACGCATTGTGCTAAGTGCCTCCTAGTCAATATTTCACCCTCACAGCAACCTACAAGGGAGATGTCATCACTCCTATTCCACATTCAAGCAATGTCCTTTCCCTTCAAATCCCCTTCATCCCTTTTTCCACCCTCACTCTCCGTTGATGATGTCATCTCATATATTTTGAGGAAATTAAAACCATCAGTCATGCACTCCCTCATCGTCACACCATAAAGCTGCAATCCTACTTGTATCTACAACCATCCTCTTGTTCTTCTTCTCTGCTGTCAGGTTTGACTATAAGAAATGGCTGTTTTTGCTGACTCAAATGGTCGAATGTCAACCGTTTCTTATAGCTCAGCCTAATACAACAGAAGCCATGTCTCTGCCCTTCCAAAGGCAAACCTCGTGCCTGGATCACAGATTCTACTCAATAATTTTTTTCATTTTTCCCTTCCTCGCTTGCAAAATAAGTCTCTTTCTCATTGCCAAATTGTGCCCCTTAGCATACAATCACGCCCAGTACCTTCCATCTTAGAAAGAAAGGAAAAGGTAAAAAAAAGCATCTTCTTGTTCCTGCTTTTCTGCCAAACTTTAAAGACTCACAGAGAGGCTCTGTTTCTTCACTCATGTTCTCTTCTACCCACCCCAGCGTAGCTCCTCCCTCCATCCCACCAATAGTGATATTGTCAATATCACTCGCATCCTTCATGTCAACAAATCCAGTCTCCACTTCTCTCTTCTCATCTTACTCAACCTCAGTGGCATCCAACCCTTTGCTACCCGCTCTTCTTCCCCTGACCTCAAGAAATCTTGATGTTCTTCAGGGCTCAGATTTTGGTCTCCTGCTCTGCTCCATCTCAACTCTCTCTGAGGTGGTCCTCAACTACTCCTGGGGCTTAGAAATGGGACTGCTATTCCCAGCTTGCTTCTGCCTACTTGGTTAACTCTGGCATGTGGGTAGGCTGCTGAGTTTAAAGGCAAGGTGTACAAATACTACAATTAAAAGGGCTCTCTACACACCATATGAACTAACTAAAATGTGGGCAGGTAAGTTTTTGCTTGGGTAAGAAACGGATAATTCATAAAGATGAATTCTGGCCTCTGTGATGATGGGAAGGAGAAAATCTGGGTTTTTGTAATCCAGTAAAGGGGTATGGACATCTCAGGGCCTAATGGGAATTTAGGACCAGGTGAGACTTTATCCATGCGTCCACCCTTATCTAGTCCATCACTCAATTTTACAGATGAGGAAACAGACCTAAAGGGGTAGAGTACCTACCCTGACGTCACTCAGCCAAAACCTAGGCACAAAATTTGACAGTGGACTCTCATTCCAGCGCTCATGATCACTCCACTCAGACTGTTCCCCAGGGACTCAGGCCCAGGGTGCAGCTACTGTGGACATAAAGGCCAGCCCAGGATTCAGAAGCAAATTTCAGCCTGTTCTACAATATATCCCACATTGGAAACAGACTCCCTCGATGGACAGACCATAAATCTAAATTGCATTTGGGGAGGAAAGCAATCTCTTAAACTCCTGCTAGTGTCAAACACTGTGCCAGGCCCTTCCTGTGCATTCCCACAACTTACAACAATCATAGGAGCCCATGTTCCTAGTTATTATTCAAGTGCCCTGGGTTTGCATCCTGGCTCCGTCCCTTACCAACAGTTGACCTTGGGCAATTTTCTTAGCTTTCCTATGCTTCCTCGTCTGCAAAATGGGGATAATAATACCTACTTCATCAAGTCGTGTTGGTAAGTCATTAGAATAATACATGTAAAGTATTTGCGGAGCACTTTGTGAGCAATGGTAGACACAGTACACAGTCAGTAAATGTTAGCTATCATTATTGATAGGAAGCTGAGGCTCAGAGAGGTTTCAGCACTTTCTGGGGCTACCCAGATACTGAGTGTTAGGACCAAGCAATGAATCCATTTGCCCCCATGTCCTGTTGCACTATACCAGTGTTTCCCTAAGTGGGTTCCATGGGATGCTAGTCTGCAGGATGCTTAGTGAGAAGAGGGTTCCATGGTTAAATACGTTTGGGAAATGCTGCGTCCTCTGTGCCCCTTTTGGAGAGTCGCAAAACACAAAACACATTAGCACTAGCATGCGAAAGAAGCTGAGTAGTCCTGTAGCAAAACTACCTATTTAACTGTGTAATACAGCATTTCCCAAACTCATTTGACCACAAAACCTTTTTTTGTTTGTTTTTTGTTTCTTGTTTTTTACCTAACACCTATTAGCACCCAGCGGAACACACTGTGGGAAATGCCACTCTAGGCCGTGCAGCGTCCCCCGGAATGGTAATCATGCTTTTGTTCTTTTAAGGGGAAAACCATGATCTCTTTTTCATCCATGAGTGTGACTTAAACAGTCGACTGGGGAATGGCTTGCTCGCGTCCAGGGTCAGAGAGGAGCTGCGCGTCTTCCCTTGGAGTCCAGCACCTGCCATTCTTTCCCCAACCAAGAGCCTTTCTCCTTCCAGACCCCCACCTGCCACCTCTTAATGATGTCCACCTCCCAACCACTTCTGCTTCCACCTCCTGTTTCCCACCTTTTAGTCTCATCTTCGCTCAGCTGATAATACTCAGCTGCTCCACCCTGACAGAGCAGAAAGGGGACTCAGTCAGTCCCCAAACTGGCCACATGGCCTTGGAAAAGTCACCAAACCTCTAAACTTGAGTGTTATTTTCATCTGTAAAGTGGGGCTAGTAACACCCACCTATCTCACCTTGTTCTATTTGATGACGTAGTGTGATAATGCATTGGAAAATTACTAGGAGTTTTGCAAAAGAAGGTACTACAATTATTTCTAATGGCTCCAGTGCCTCTGGGAGGGAGCTTAGCCCTGTGCAGCTTGCTGATCCCTGGTCAGCTGTGAACCCTGTGGACTGAAATGCCACCAGAGTCACCCTTGGGTTTATTTGAATGGGACGACCAGATGAGACAGCTGCTCACACTCAGCCATGTGCTTATGCATCGTTGTCTTTGTTCTGTCTCTGTCTCTCACTTGGCCACAGGTGAAATGTGTGCGATACTGGCCAGATGACACGGAGGTCTACGGAGACATTAAAGTCACCCTGATTGAAACAGAGCCCCTGGCAGAATATGTCATACGCACCTTTACAGTCCAGAAGGTAAGCTTCCCAGAGGCTGTGGGCAGCCGGTCCACCATGAGAGCTGGCTTCTTTGTTCATCCAGAACACGTAGTGACTGAGGGTCTGTTCTATGTCCAGCCCCATGCTTGGCACCAGCAACAGATCAGCAATCAGGGCAGACATGGATCCTGCTACCGTGGATCCCACATCTAGTAGGCTGGACAAACTGAATTCAATAAGCAAATCAATGAAATAACAACGCATTGTGATAAAAGTCACACGGGAATATGCAAAGGATGGAGATAGAAATCCACAGGAGGATGGGGTGGTGGGAGAGGGCCTCTTAGTGGAGGAGGCGTTTGGGCAGAGAATGAAGGAGGAGGAACCAGTGCAGGGTAGAAAGGAAAGAAGAGCTATCCCAGGCAGAAGGAAAAAACATGCAGTCTGGAGGGGAAAAAAAAAAATGATCTCAAGCTGTTCAAGGCCTGTGGTCTCAACTGGGGGCATTTTGATCCCCCAAGGAATATTTGTAAATGTCTGGCAACATTTTTGGTTGACACAACTTGGGGGAGAAGGGTTAGGATGGTACTGGCACCTAGTGGGTAGAGGCCAGAGATGCTTATAAATATTCCACAATGTACAGGACAGCCCCCGACAACAAAGGATTTTCCAGCCCAAGGCATCAGTAGTGTCGAGGTTGAAAAATGCTGATCTAGACATTAAAAGGAGGCCAGGGCTGTACAAGCTTGGTGAGCAAGAATGTGATTGCAAATAATAATACATATATTTATAACTTATTATATAATCATTGCTATTCTATCATTACTATTATGTCATAATGATAGCTAACATTTACTGAGCACTTACTGAACCAGGTACTTTTCTAAATGCTTTGCATAGAGTAACTCAGTTAATCCTCCCAGCAACCCTGTAAGGTAAGAGCTATTATTATCCCCATTTTGCAGATGAAGAAACTGAGACACAGAGAGTTTAAATCAGTTGTCCAAAGTTGCCCAGCTGCAAGGCTGGTAGAACCAGGAATCACACCTTTACCCCTGTAACACACTTCTCTTTCCATTACACCACAGGTTCCATTCCTCTAAAACCAGCCACTTTAGTAGACAACATGGCCACAGGCCTGAGGATGCAAAAGCACTGGGGACTTACATGCTTTGAGAGCTGTGCCCTTGAGGCTTGGACAAGTCCTTGCAAGGGCCAAAATAGGCTGCTCTGCAGACTAGAGCCCGGCATGCACACAGTACTGTTCCAGCATACAAAGTGGCCTAGGACATACTGTTTGCCCCCAGAAGCTCCCACTCCAACCCCCAGACTCCTAAAGTCTCAGGGTCTTTTTCATCTGAGTCCGCAGTCTTGGGTGAAAAAGTCAGGAAGCCTGTGAACTCCCTGCACTAGGAGGAAGGAAACCATTGGGACTTCGATGTTGCCTTAGGTCAGGTTTTTTAGAAGCAGAGCCTGAGGCAAGGATTCAGGAACATAAGGTATATCAAGGGAGCTCTTCCAGGAAAAATTCCTAAGAGAGTGGGAAGCAGGAGAGGGAAGGAAAGACACCAACCAAGGGCAGAGGCTCCAGTGAAGTCTAGCCTAGAGGCAATCCACAGGGAACCTCCAAGGATAAACCATGCCACAGAGTTGTCCCCCTTAAGGCAAGGAAGCCAGACCTCTGTGCTCCCACATCAGTCAGTCTGCTGACCGTGGACCATCCACTGAGGGGTAACCTCCAGGATGGGCCAGCCCCTGTCAACTGAGGGCATGTCTCCAGAGAAGGGGACAACTGGGAGGCAGTAGCAACCAACAGTTCCTGCAGCTGAGGCCTGGGAGCACAGGCCCAAGGAAAAGGACCCAGGTGGGATACCAGTTTCATCTGTCACATCTGTGTTGGATGCCCGAGGATGGGATGAGTGACTGGGGACATGGGCAGGGAGGCCTTGAGGAATTGCAGCTAGCAAACCATGTTGAAGAATTATGGTCCTTTCTTGGGTTACATTTTCTTTGTCTTTTAAACAACCATGAGGGAAGATATTACTCATAGGGAGATGCCCTTAAAAGACCCCAAGGGCCTCTGAGGATTAACTGGGCTTAGCCAGCCTCTCCACAGCACGCAGGCAGGCACTCAGCAAACATCACCTGTGGTTTTAGCTCAAAATCGGTTCCTGAGCTGGGAACCTGGAAATAATAAACAGGGAGTGCTGTCTGCCCTTGAAGATAGCACAGTCACATCAGGGAGAGAGGATCCTTGATAAATCATCATAGCACAGGTGGGAAGAGCTCGAAGGAGGGCTTCTTGGGACTGAATTGATTTGGAGGATGGTGTGAAAAAAGTCCAAGTATTCTTGAAGGTTTCTCCTCTCACTTCAGCTCATCCATCACAGCCTTAATCTGGGCCTCTGGTTTCTCCCTCCTAACAGGACTGTCTGCCTCTAGTCCTGCCCCTATGTTAGTTTGGGTCTCCCAGAAGCAGAGCCAGAAGCAGCAGGGGTTTAGGTGCCCTGGCTCGTGTATTGAGGGAGAGTTTGCAGGCGGAAGGCGGTGAGAGAGCCAGGACGGAGTGGGGAAGGGAGCTGAGTGAGGATGTGGCCTCAGCAGAGACTTGCTTCCACCTGAACCCATGAGAGCCCTGGAACATGAATGGTACTGCACACTTGGTCCAACCTTGAAGCAAAGGGGCCTCAGGGGCACCCCTTAGGGTAAAAATAAATTTCTGTTTTTCCCAGAACATTACTGGTTTTAGCACTGAAAGTCCCACGTACCGGGGAACCCCTCAGTCCTGGGCCGACTGAGCAAGTGGCAAGCCAATTGGTCATTCTCCCTCAACTATCAGTCACTGGAGGATGCTGCCCCACCCAGCCACACCCCCGGGGAGGGCGTTCCTGTTCAGCTGAGAACAGTCCTCTTCAGAAGAGGGTAACTGTGAGCTGTGTACAGCCACGACTCAGAGCAGCTGGCAATGAGTCCACTGACCCAGTGATGGGGATCTGAGTAGGCACCAATAGTGCCCTCTCTGCAATCCCCGATCCACCCACCTGAATCCATCCTTCATGTAGCAGGATGCAGCCTCCTAAAATACAAGTCTAATGATGCACTTCCTCTTGTGTGGACCCATCTGTGTAATCTCCCTGTAGCTTCCCAATGCCTTTGAGATAAAGTCCAAAGGCCTTAATGTAGATTCAAGGACTTCTGGGATCCAGCTCTCATCTATTCTCCCACACCCCCAGGCCTGTGGTCCCCCATGGCCTGCCTTCCACTTGTCTCTAGCATTGCCCTGGGTTGCTAGTGATTCTCTGCACATGCCATGCTAAGCCCTGTCCCCAGGCCCGTGCCCATGCTGTCCCCTTGCCTTGGATTCCCTTCCTCTTCTCCCGTCAACTGGGTAATACTCACACATCGGTATATTAGAATGATTAAGAGTGCAGACTGTGGAGACAGCCAGCCAGGGTTCACATCATCTTTTTACAACTTATGAGTTGTACTGTGACCTTGGGTGTGTCACTTAACCTTGCTCAACCTCAGTTTCCTGATCCATCAAGTGGAGATAAAAATATAGGGATTTATATCAGGATTAAATAAGTTAGCATGCTGAAGTGTTCAGAAGAGTGACTGACACACAGTAAATGCTTAGTTAATGTTAGCTATTATTTTCACTATTTGTTTCAAGATTCAGGTCAAGCATCACCTCCTCCAGAAAGCCTTCTCTGATTTCTCCTCTCCTCAGATCAGGTTAGCAGGTACTCCTTTATCCACTTCAACAGAATTACCCACTTGGGCATCTGCCTCCCCGACAAGGCCATAAGCTGTTCCAGGGATAGGAGCTATGGCTTTTATTCTCACCTTCCTGGTACCTAGCACAAGACTGGGCAATGGTCACACTTGGTAAATGATTTTTAACTGAAGGAATGAAAAATCAAACAGACTCTTCCTATTCAGTGCTCTCTGGGTATCTGCAGGAGATTGCTAAGCAGAAAAATAGTAGGTAGCAGGACCTGTCTAAGCAAAGGCTTAGAAGTGTGATCTGACCTTGGAATAGTCAGAAAACCACTGTTGGGACTGGAGTGTATGTCTGTGAGGGGTGAAGGAATGTGAAAAGGGAGGGGAACCGCTCAGAGTTCTAGGCCCCACTCTGTCTCCATAAATCCGAGAAGCTCTGCTTTTGTTTGTTTCGTATCTTATCTAATCATTCTAAGTAAGAATCTAATTAATAAAGAAATCGACTAAGTTATATACATTTTGAAAGTCACACAGACTATCATAGTCAAGGCTGGAACACTACAGAACATCAGACCTCAATCACTGAAAGCCTCAGATTCCACTGGAAATAATTTGGACTTGGTCGTTAAGGCCAACATTTCTTTAAATCCGTTCTACTCGATACACCTCCTATGAAACACTTGTCAAAGACCATCCCCTAGGCAAACAAAAGGAGGTCTCCTAGGGTGCTCTGTGGTCCCCTAGGCATTCAGAGTGTGTTTAAGCACACTCAAGACTCTGAGAAGTCCTGTAATAAAGCCATCAGTTTCATTGTAACAATCCCATGTTTCCCAAATGTAACTGATCACAGAATGGCTCTATGCAGTAACACCTATTAACACTGTGAGGGCCCTGTCCCTGCTGGAGGTTCCTCGGTGCAGCAGCTGTGGCTCCATGTGTTGCTGGGCTGGGTATGTGAGGGCAGCAGCTGGAAGAACAGAGGCCTGTTCTTTCCTCAGAAAGGCTACCATGAGATCCGGGAGCTCCGCCTCTTCCACTTCACCAGCTGGCCTGACCACGGCGTTCCCTGCTACGCCACTGGCCTTCTGGGCTTCGTCCGCCAGGTCAAGTTCCTCAACCCCCCAGAAGCAGGGCCCATAGTGGTCCACTGCAGGTAAGTCAAAGGTCCCTCACCTTGGGAGGCCGAGGCGGGCGGATCATGAGGTCAGGAGTTCGAGACCAGCCTGGCCAACATGGTGAAACTCCGTCTCTACTAAAGATGCAAAAAATTAGCTGGGTGTGGTGGCACACACCTGTAATCCCAGCTACTTGGGAGGCTGAGGCAGGAGAATTGCTTGAACCCAGGAGGGGAGGTTGCAGTGAGCCAAGATCGCGCCACTGCACTCTAGCCTGGGTGACAGAGTGAGACTCCGTCTCAAAAAAAAAAAAAAAAAAATTTCCTCCAACTACCCTAGAGTGCCTCTGCACCTCAGCTTTCTTGGGAGGGACATGCTATCTTTTCTAGTGGCTTTACTCTTAGAGACTCCTCTTCCTGTGTCCCCCATGCCCCATGCTTTCTGATGAGACTTGGTCGCAAGGTCAACTAACAAGAGGAAGAGCAGTAGTGGCCATTGTTGTTGTTGTTGTCTGAAAACAGTGAGGTCACCAGGGAGGCAGGCTGAACACTGGCAGCGTCTGCTGGGTCTGTCATGTGCACTTTACCCACATTATTTAATTTACTTCTCATCCAGTCTTGAGAGGTGGGCATTATTATCATTCCCATTTTACATATACAAAAACTCAAGTGTTGAGAAGGTAAACACAGAGTGGGAATATTTCACCTGCTTTTCTCCAGACACTCGCCCTCAGCTCCTTGACATGGCAGCAGGGTGCCTTGGTGGAAGCATGCTTCTTTTCATTTCTATTATTTTCAAAATCAGTTGCCAGCCTGCAGGGTCCCTCATAGAGAGAAATGGACAGCACCAGGTTTTACCTTATTATGGAGAAGAGAGATTTTCAGCTCTGACCTAGAAAGTCACATTGAGAATGAGTGGCACGTCTTCGAATCCTCCCAAATGGAGATGAAGTATCATGTCAGAGGTGTCCAGAATTGGAGGAGGATGGCCTTCCTGACCCGAAGCCCAGCCAGCTGGCATCCCCCTCCTTCCCATTGCCTCTCTCTTCCACTATGACCTTGGGCCAGCCCATCTTTTCAGACCTTGGATGCTTGAGTTATCACATCCCTTCCCTGGCAGTTTGTGTCAGTCAAGAGACCACGGAAGACTCTATAAGCTGTAGATGTCTCAGAGCTAGCCCCATCCTCATACAGCATCCATTTATCTTCCCAGCAATAGTAGCTACACAACACCATTTCACAGATAAGGCAAGTGAGGATGAGGAGGTAATTCTGGACTCTCTAAATGTTTTGCATGTATTCTCTGCTTTATATCTTACAGCAATCGAAGGGCAATAGATCATTAATCCCCTCATCTCTATATCCCAAAGAGCACCCAGATCAAGAGTTAGGGAGAAAGAAAGACAATGGCAAATGTTTATCAGGCTCTCTGCGCATGATGGCTCTAAGGCCTTACGTATCTCCATAGCAAGTCATCTTAATGCATGTGAGCAGAGTGGTACCCACTCCTGGGTCTGTTCTGAAAATTATTAACAAATGGGTTGGCTAAGTGTACTAAGTGCCTAAGAGAGAATGCCTGACATGTAGTGAGCACTCTAATGTATCATTATTCTCTGCCTCTTAATGTCTTCTCCCCCTCCCCAGATTATTAATCCTTCAGGAAAGGAACAATGTTTTCATATTCCCACTCCTAATCCCAGCATCTACTGCATCTTACATTTTCAATAAATATTTGTTGAATATAATAGCCATTATGAGAGTCTACTAAGACTTTTATTGAGAAATTATTATGTATCCAGGCACAAAGAATGTGTATGCATTATGCATTTTAATTGTAATTCCATGCAATTTATACATATTAGGCTATTAATGCTGTGAAGTAGATCTATTAATTATTAACATCATTTTATAGATGAGTATTGAAACCCAGAGAGGTTAAGTCATTTGCCCAAGGTCACGCAGCTAGTAAGTAATAGAGCCAGGATTTAATCCTAGGGGTCTCTTCAAAGACCCTGTGTTTGATTACTATGTGATCATGAAATAAACACAGCTCTGTCTTCACAAGGACCCTGCAGGGAGGTATGTTAAATGCATCAGAAGTCTGAAGCTAACGGACACTAGGCAACTTGGTCACCACTGATAGTTCCAAAATTCAGAACCAAACTGGGCTGGTTCTTTATACTAAAGCATGCTGAATATGAACATTGAAGAAAAAACACATGAGGGACCCCCTATACTCCCTCCCAGACACAGAGGCCAAGTCTCTTGAGTCACCGCATCTGGATTTTGGGGAGTAGGTTCTGAAGCAAACTTAAACCATGAAATTTTCTCATGAATGAAGACTCTGCTTCCGATGGGTGTACTTTCCAAATTGTTGTAGGTAGTGGTCCGCGCTGGCCTGTGCTCCTTGGATTTATAATCAGCCAATATTGCTTTTTTGTTTTGTTCCATCTCTCTTCCTCTTTGTGTTTCTTTTGACATCCACATTGTTAGACAAAGACGCTTGTTTCCATGAGAAATGCAAGATGTGAAAACGTAGTGGAAGGGGGCCTCCTTGACAGGCTGCCCAGCCTTCCCATCCAAAACTGCACGTGTGTGAGGCACATGTCTTATGTACCTCTTGGTCAGCACTGATGTTTCAGAGCCCAGCACTCATCTAGAAAGGGCTGGCCAAGGCCCATAGAGTCTCGCTGAGTTCCTCTGCTATTTTGTACTTGGTCTAAGGTTCTCCTAAAGAAGCCACTAGTGACCAGAAATCAAGTATGTATTTGGAAATTTGATTCCTGACAAGGGTCTCCGGACGGTCAGTAGCTCCAGTTTCATGACGCTCTTGCTTCATGATCCTGGGAAAACAGCCGCAGGTGGAGCCAGATGCTGGCCTTTGAACATTGTGCTCCACCAACCATTCTCCATCTTGGGTGCAGCTCGGAGAACTCTAGTTTCTGTCCTATCATTCACCTCCCCTCTGTTCTCTCTCCTCTCCTTCTCTGCTTCCATCCATCAACCCATTTGCTGAAGAAGAAAAAAGAGGAGAAAAGGGTAGAAAATAGGAAAGACATATCTATGAGACATCTCCAGCATGCCAGGAACCATGCTAGGTGTTTTATGCTATATAGATGTATTATTTTATCCATCAGACAAGGAAACGGCATGTATATGTGTGATTTGCGCATGCATTACAAACTATGCATATTAAGAAAGGAAATGTGGGAACACATAATCTGGAGCCAGACTGCTGGGGTAAAAGTTCCAGCTCTACCACTTGCCAGCTGTGTGACCTCGGTCAGGCAAGGTAAGCCCTCTATGCCTGTTTTCTCACCTGTGAAATGGGATGAGAAACTTCTTAACCTCACAGGGAAATCTATAGGTAACATTTATAAAGCACGTAGAACAATGGCATTTTGTAAGCCCTGAATAAACCTTTGCTAAATGACTACATTAAAATAAGTCAGTCCTGATAAAATAGCCCTCGGAGACCAGCACTACTCTCTCATTTTACAAAGGAGACTGCTGGGGCTTAGTCTAAGTTTAGATGCTTACTCAAGATCCCCCAGGAACGCTGGGATTCAGACAGTTCTGTCTGACTTCTGCTGTATATGGCCTCTCAGCAGGACCCTTGGGGATAGGGCTGAAAGCTAGGGGCCTCCCCAGGGCAGGTCCCCCTGCAAAGATCCTTAACAAAGATCCATACCTCTCTTCCAGTGCCGGGGCTGGGCGGACTGGCTGCTTCATTGCCATTGACACCATGCTTGACATGGCCGAGAATGAAGGGGTGGTGGACATCTTCAACTGCGTGCGTGAGCTCCGGGCCCAGAGGGTCAACCTGGTACAGACAGAGGTGAGTCCTAAGGGACCAAGACCGTTGGCCACCTGTAGCCCTGACCAAGGAGAAACATGATAGAACTGAGAGACCCATAGGTAGGGGCATCCTATGGAAAGGGACCTATGGTAGGGGCAACCTATGGAAAGGGTGTGAGAGAAGCGGGAGGGAGTAGACTCGTGGCTTACTATGGAGAGACTACTGTGGAAGCTAGGGTGCCCCAGCCAACCCTGGAGGTCTACAGTGCAGGGAGTTCCGCCAATGAAGAATGGTGGCGAGTTCTCCATCTCTGAGGCCATCCAAGCAGGGACAGAATGACAAATTTCGGGGATTATTTGAATAGCATTCTCGCCTTGGGTGAAGTGATAGAGAAGGAAAGAGAAGGACTGGCATTTATTCAGTGACCACTACGTGCCAAGCGATGGTTCAGTCACTGCAGGGAATGGTTTAATCAACAAAGTAACTGAGTACTTAGGCTGGGTGCTGGGGATTTCAAGAGACGTAATACACAGCCCCTGCCCTCAAGGGAGAAGCAGACCTTCAGCACTTCTCTGTGCAGTTACCTAAGAGTACTGAAAGGAATTAATCTTTATTGTTGTGTACCTACTGTGAGCCAGGCAGCATACATTCTTTCTAGCCATGGTAGTGTTTCTACTCCTCCAAAACAGCTGTGGTGTAGCTCCTAGTATTATCTGCAATTTATCAATGAAGAAGAAACTAACAAATTGTGTCCCTAAGACCTCACATACCAGACTGTGGGAGAACTTGGGTCTATGTGACCCCAAAGGCCTCTGCTTTTTTGCCAGAACCACACTCTCACTAAGCAGCCTTTTCTGCCTATCCCACTCTGTGCCTTGGCTTATCATTCCCGTAATGAGCCCATCTTCTGTTCTAGTGAAGGCTCTGGGTGCTTGGGCAGTCAGAGCTGGGACAGATAAGGAACTGTGTACATCATCAATCCTGCAAAGGGAAGTGACCCATGGCTTTGGTACAGCCAGCCCCTCTGACTCTGCAGTGAATACCACCACTGATTGGTTTACACACATAGGCTCTGAGCTAACTCACACAGGCCAGTCTTCAGGCTTCTAGCACTAAAGCCAAGAGGGCTGCTTTATCTATTCCCAGGTTCATGCATGCAGAAGGCAGTCTTGCCGGTTGTAGTCAGACATATGAGGAGATAGACATATTCAAATGCAGATGCATCACGTTGCATCTGGAAAAGCACACTGTATAGAGAAATTGACCAAGTTCTGCAGAAAAGGTCACTCAACAAACATTTATGTAGGGCCTAGAAGTGACACCAACTTCTGCCTGGTGGATTAACAGATGGCCTTCCAGAAAGAATGAAACATTAAAGGTATGGAAAAGAGGGAGTGGAGTTTCAGGAGGAGAGAACAGCAGGTACAAATAATTGAGATAGGAGAAGACATGACACATGTTTTAGGAGCAGATTGTGAGACAAAGATTTGCGGGCAAATAATTTGCTTGGAAGGTAATCCCAAGACACACTGGCTGGTGAATGGGAAAGTGAGGCAGAGCAGGGAAGGAAACAAAGGCTACTTTAACAAGCTGTTCAACACTGTAGACAACGGAACCCAATTCTGCTGGGAACTCTGAGACACATGCGTGTCCAAGTGATTCCACCTAAAGGGAGAAGGAACTTAGATTTCTGTCCTCAACTCTCTATCTGTCTCTGCTTGAGAGTTACTTTCCATACAGCCCAAGTATCCTCTCTGCCTTCAGCAGAGAATCACAGGTGTTTGCAGCAAGCAGCCTTCCTTAGGTAAAGGTGAAAGCTGAAGGGACATGGGCTGGACACAAAGAGCACCTGCTACAGCATGTCTAGAAGTTTCTCATTTTATCAGTGACTATGCTATTACATCTTCTGTAAGAAACAAGACCCACCATAGTTCAGGTGATCATTAGGAAACGTGGAAAGTTGGTCCTTTGGGTTACAGTATAAAAAGTAAGGATTCTACAATATATTGACAAGTGTCTATCCTTCATAGCCACAATACTAAATGTGGACCACAAATTCCCAGGGCACTATTCTTACCTGGCACCCCATTCCCTCTCTTCTGACTTTGCAGGAGCAATATGTGTTTGTGCACGACGCCATCCTGGAAGCGTGCCTCTGTGGCAACACTGCCATCCCTGTGTGTGAGTTCCGTTCTCTCTACTACAATATCAGCAGGCTGGACCCCCAGACGAACTCCAGCCAAATCAAAGATGAATTTCAGGTATGAGCAAATCCCAGGCTCGGTGACCATCTTAGTCAGTTTGGGTTGTTATAACAAATTTCTGTAGATTTGGTGGTTTAAATGACAAACATTTATTTATTACATTTCTGGAGGCTGAGAAGTCCAGTATCAAGCTTCCAGTAAATCCAGTGTCTGGGGAGGGCTCACTTCCTGTCTTTCAGATAGCCATCTTCTCATTGCATATTCACATGGTGGAAAGCAGAAGCAGCAAGCTCTCATGTTTCTTCTTTTTTTATTTTTTATAGAGATAAGATCTCACTACGTTGCCCAGGATGGTCTTCAAATCCTGGGTTCAAGCAATCCTCCCACCTTGGTCTCCCAAATTATTGGGATTACAGGCGTGAGCCACCACACCCAGCCCTGCATGTTTCTTCTTAAAAGAGCAGTAATCCCATGTTCATGAGGGTTCTATGTTCATGACCTAAACATCTTCCGAAGTCCCAACCTCCTAATACCATCACATTGGGGGCTAAGATTACGACATGGATTTTGGGAGGGATGAAAACATTTAGTTCGTAATAGTAACCCAACCAACTTCAGTGGCTCTGTGCACATTTGTGGGGTTTTCTTTGGGACAACTGATATGTCTATGCACTTTCAGTGTCTGCTCCTCTAGGAAGCTGCAGAATCTATTCCAGAACACAAAATGCACAGCCATGAGCAACGACGCACTCAGGGATTGCTGGTGCTTGTCTTTAACTGTGAATCTGTTTTTTAACTGAAGTCTTATTCAGTTCTAGTCCAAGTTGTGAATGGAGACAAATTTATACAAACAGGTGTGAATTTCATGCTCCTTCATCCATGGAGGGACTCAGGTCCTCTCAGTATTTTTTCAGTAGACTATTACTGCTAAAAGTGTGGTCTGCAGTCTGACCAACATGGTGAAACCCTGTCTCTACTAAAAATACAAAACAAATTAGCCAGGCATGGTGGCATGCTCCTGTAATCCCAGGTACTCAGGAGGCTGAGGCAGGAGACTTGCTTGAACCTGGGAGGCAGAGGTTGCAGTGAGCCGAGATCGTGCCACTGCACTACAGCCTGGGCAACAGAGTGAGACTCCATCTTAAAAAAAAAAAAGAAAATAGCATTAGGAGCTATACCTAATGTAAATGATGAGTTAATGGGTGCAGCACACCAACATGGCACATGTATACATATGTAACAAACCTGCACATTGTGCACATGTACCCTAGAAATTAAAGTATAATAAAAAATAAATAAGATTCTCACCTGGAAGCCCGTATGGTCAGCGCTGTGGCAACATTGATTGGTCTAAGA